TAAATTTTAGGACCATTTATTTATACATGGCATGGTATCAGAAGTTCAGTATGCTCTCCAAAGGGAAGCAAAAGCAATTGATATAAAACACATTTGTTAAACAACTACAAGAAGAGTATATAACCATACAGTAGAATGCTGTTTAGGCCACCTAAATCTTCCCCCCCCCCCAAAGTCAACATAAGAAAGTCAGCGGTTTACATGAGAAAAATAATGGACCTTTAAATTTCAGCTTTGCTTGATATTCATGAAGCATTGCAATATAGAACTCTGTGCATGTAAAAGAAAGACACGCTGCTCAGTTCTGAAAAAAATAAACACCATCAGTATTGTTAAAATTTCAAATTATTCTAATACTTGCATGTTATTCATGCCTGAATAAATAGTGAATACAGACTCCAAAACACAGTGGAAATCAGCCAGAACTATATGCACTTTCATAAAGTATAAAACAAATGCAAAATATATCTTTTCAATTTTAATTTATTTTATTTTGAATTTCACCTGTTGACCTGGTACATTTTAATGTGTTTAGAAGCTTAGAATTCGAATTTGAGGACCCAAATAGATCAGATGAAAAGTTCCATTTATGCAGCGTTTTGTTATACATTGTGTCCTGACCTTATAACCTAGATGACTGTTAATTTGGAATAATGTCAAATTTTGACAAGGCAACAGAATATTAGATTAGTTTGGCAATTTCAATTATTAATGATTGGTGTTCAGGTCTAATGTTTCCGTTTCAATGAGGGGCTTCTGTTTCAAAAATCCATCCTTACTTTTAACTAAAACATTTGTAGGATAGCAGTGAAGGTACAGTCGACCACATGCATTGTTTAACTATAATTGACTGTACTGTTTCATATGGACATCACTGACATTGTTTTAAATTCTCAAATTAAATAATAAAAGATTATACACAAGATACATTTCAGAAAATGCATTCAGGGAGCATCATCCAATCTATTTTTTCAAAAGACATTTGGAAAACAGTGATACTATAAGGACAAGAATCCAAACTTCTACTATATGTTAGGATTGTAAGCCCTCAAAATGGGACTGGGATAGCAAAATTCAGTAAAATAATAATGATAATGATATAATAATAATAATAATAATAATAATAATAATAATAATAATAATAATAATAATAATAATAATAATAATAATATACTACAAAACAGTTATTTAGGATTCTATAGAAGATTTTAAAAAGTTGTAAAACTTCTTAAAAAGTAATTTAGAGTTTATTATCCTAGATCACCAGGCTTGCCAATCTAATAATCAGAAGGCATAGGGGGGAGTAAAATCAAGGCATTTAATACATACATTATATATAATTAACATTAATAATTGATTCAGAAAACAATTTCATTTTTTTAAGAAATGCCATCTCTGCAACATTAAAAAGGGAAGCAGCTCAAACCAATATAGCTGCAATGGTGTAGATCAGACATGTCAAACACAAGGCCCGGGGGCAGGATGCGGCCCGCGAAGTGGTTTCATGTGGCCCATGAAGCCATCCTGGAAACAGTGAGGGAACTGCCCCTGCTGCCTTCACCCTGGCCCAGGCCACCTGGGAGCCAATGTATAATTAGCTCCACAAGACTGTCTGGAAACAGCAAGGAACCAGCCCCTGCTGCATCAGCCCCGCCCCCTGTGTGCATGCTGGTGAGGTGTCACCCTTTGTGAGGAATGAAGAAATGGAACATGCCTTGGCACTTGCCCTGGTCCCACCCCCTTCTGCTAGAGACCCTCAGATCTGTCCCACTCCTGCCCAGGCCCCCACAGGCACCCTTGACGCGAACGATGTAGAGCTGGCCATGCCCACCCAGTAGGCTACACCCAGCCTGGCCACACACCCCCCACCCCACCCCCGAGGGCAACCGCAATGCTGATGCGGCCCTCAATGAAATCTATCTGGTGTAGATAAACACAAAAATGACCAAGAACAAATGTCTCCAGATACATATGCCTATTCTCATGAAGATCAAACAAATTATCCCATGACTCAAATCCATACTGTGACTCTATTTCTCTTGGCATTCACTTCTATTAAAAAGATTGATAAGATAAGGCATGTCTTGCCCAACCACTATCTTCTTGATGCCAGCCATCACTATCTCTACCTTTGTGAAATGAGCCCATATATATATATACATTAATACAGACAAATATATTAATTCATCATCAAATGTCTCTAGTTTGTTGGGACAAACTCTAAAGCTATAAGTCAAGAACAAGATATATAGACTGCTGAATTGCTTCCATTTTATCTTGAAATAAATAATAAAAGCATATCTGTATAAGACTGCATTTATTAAAGGAGTAGAAAAAAGGCAGGTTTATTGTATTCTTACTCTCATTAAAGCTTTGAAACTAAGTAATTAAAAATCCTACTTATAATTACTTGGAAGAGAGCTCCATTGAACATGTTTTGTTCTTTTAAATAAATACCTTTGGGACTGACATTCAGGTTATCAAATAAGCAACTTCAAAGTGGTAGCAGAATAACCTGAAATGCTAAAGATGAATTACTCCACAAATTGATTCTTATTTGTAAACAATATCTGTAACTGTCCATAAGTAATGCAGACTAAATGATTTTGCCTCTTGGAACATAGATAAGAATTGCATCTAACTTTTATGTAAAATTATAATTCACTTCAAGCTATAGTATCATTTTCTTCCCTCCCTGCTTTTAAATTCCATGTAAACTTTCAAGGACACAATTTACTTTTCAAATTATATTACAAAGATGACTTAGTCAAGGTTTATACTGACCATGGAAGAGTATTATGCCTATACAGGTTTTGAAAATGATGTTGAAAAAGATACATATTAGTTCCACCAATCTATGAAATGCAAATTTCTCAGATTGCCACCACAGTAGTTTAATTATAAGAAATACAGTCTTCTAATTCAACCAGGAAGCAATTGCCCAACTATTTAGATGCCTATTTTATAGATTTGGGTAATTGCATTCAATACCATATATTATACTCAAAGATTTAATATAGCAACATCAAAAATGAACACTAGTGCCGTGGAATATATAATTAACATTTTATAGCATAAATGCTAGGTCCATATATGAAGAAGCAAGCAAGATATATTAATTGCTTACAAGAATATTGCCAACTATTATCACCATATATATTGTCACTATATTTTACTAAGCAATAATAATATCTTTCACATGCCAACCTCAAAGTTGAAGCCAAGAAAGAGTGTAGTCTGCAATCCCTTGCGGAGATCTGGAGAGTATACTAGGATTATTCCTTACAGCAAGTCATCTACCTCATTATAATAATATAAGAACATGTACCAGCAGGAGATTGTTTGTTCAGGGAAAAACAACTTTTCAAAATGAAACTTGAAATTAAAAAAAGCAAAATACAAACTTGCAACTTCATGCAGACAATCGGTGCTGCGTATCCAGAAGCACTGGAAATGTTGCATTAAATAATAAATAAATGTAACAAATTAACTGGCAAAGTGAAACCTCAGATGCTGATTCTGGAATATTTTCAGTTTAACCTTAAATAATCAAGATAATATTGTTATCTGTAGAAGACTAGAACTGTTAAGTCATATGATAAGCAGTTAATGGTATGCTTGAATAGCTTCAGTGTTCCAATGTACAATTGCTATCTCATGTGCTAATATCATTAAGTGCCATAGTATCAATACTGAACCACAATTGCTATTGTTCACATAATTGTGGCATCAATTAATGGAAGCTAAATCATGTAGATGGTAGTTTCAGAATACTTCAGTAGAACCTTCCCCCCCACCACCACCCCTGCTCCACATGCATCAGATATATATGGTTTGGCACATAGCTGTGTTAAAAAAATAAGTGTTCATTTATCTTATTCTTAATTAAGAGTTTGCCATAGAAGCCAAAAGACAACATCTAAGGCTTATTCATTGAAATTAGAGAGAAAGAGAGAGCACCAGTGGCCACAAATAATTTTGTCCAAGCCATATGGCCAACTCCTACTGAGGTATATATTTAACATGAGCTTGTACGTTTCCATGGATTTACCTATTCCATGGATTTTACCTATATCATGGAAACATTAAATCCCTCCCTTCAACATTACATATAATAGATTCCCAATCACTGACTTCAATTTCCACCCTACTTTGAGAGGAAAAGTCACATCATTTGGATAAATACACGATTAGATGTAGATTGCTCATATCATGCAGGACATCATTTCTGAGAGGAAGTGGAGTTCAGCTAAGCAGATGGGTCAAAATTATGTTTTCAAACATCTAAAAAAATTTACAGGCAATGGCAAACTTAGGCAAAAAAATAAATCCACACAATGGCAGTCTAATACTTAGTTCAAGCGTATATGACATGTCCACTTGCAGCATCATATCATGATTTGTCCATATGAATTGGTTTTCCTAAATTAATCCTCAGAAATTAATTTGGTATCACAGGTTATTCAATAAAAAGAATTTGCACACATGGTTGAAAACTACAAAGCGCTAAACAATTGAAGGAATCATAAATTGTGATCTAGGTACCATACTTTCCGGCATATAAGATGACTTTTGCAAGCATTAAAATTGGTGCCGAAGTCGGGGGTCGTCTTATACGCTGAGTCGTCTTATACGCCGGAAATAACGGTAGCGTTTCTGGCATATAAGACGACTTTCTAGGCATGCGACTTGGCGCCGAAGTCGGGGGTCATCTTATACGCCGGGTCGCCTTATACGCCGGAATATACGGTAACTGTATGAGCTATAGTTATATTTAAGAGCCGAGGTGGCACAGCAGTTAGGGTGCAGTACTGCAGGCCACTTTAGCTGACTGTGTTCAGCAGGTCAGCGGTTCAAATCTCACCGGCTCAAGGTTGACTCAGCCTTCCATCCTTCCGGGGTAGGTAAAATGAGGACCCAGATTGTTGGGGGCAATGTAATATATATATATATATATATATATATATATATATATATATATATATATATATATTGCTTACTGGTGTACACCGCTTAGAGAGTGCTTGCACTTAAAGTGGTATATAAGTCTCATAAATAAATAAATAAATTTTAACAGGGATATTCTATGGACAATATCTATTTAACAGAATGCTAAATTCCAGATTCTGTTTCTTTCTTAAAGGTTTTCTAGGCATGCCAATTCAATTTCTATCTTTACCTCCAGTTAAGGCCCATAATATGCAACCTATAATCTGCTATGCACTGAGGCTTATTGGATATTAGATTATGCCACTTTTCTCTTCCTGAAAAGAAGTTCGTGATGAAGATCGTCCCAACAAAAATTCCTTCTCATGAATCAGACTATCCAAGAGGTCCTCCTGCCGATAATTATGATAAACCTTCAAAAAGGCCAATATTGTAATTCCTAGCCAAGTCAGCCAGGCAGCCCAGAGGCCAAACTAGAAATAAAAAAGAGAAAGAGATGATGAGAATACTTTAAAAATATAAATATACACCTTTCCAAAAATTACACCCTCTAAATATGTTAACTCCTAGAATCTCCTAAATTATTCAAACTGCAGTCCCAAAATACCTGTAGATCACTTTATTGAGTAAAGTGAATCTAATACAATGTGTAAATCAGTACATTTTTCCAAAAAGCTTCAGCTAAATAATGTTGAAGATTTTCTCAGTTCACATATTCACAGCCTACAATTTATAAAATGGCTGAGTTAATACAATACATTAGGCTTAATTCAAACAAACAATATTAATGTGATATTTGACTCTATAGAAACTTTTTTTAAAAAAAAAATCTGTACAATCTGTAATTCTGTAACAAAAGTCCATTACAGTAAATGTATTTTCCAGACAATAGCAGCACATATCTTACATTATTAAAAGGAATCCAATCCATGTTGGCATTACATATTCAGCCTTTATATTTCTTAGTCTGGTCCTACGTTGTACTGCATCACAATCTTGCCTTTCCTAGAAATCTCAAGAATGTCATCTAAGAACCAATACACATACAGTATTCCTTGTAAGAGACTACGGATGCAAATAAATAGAAACTCATCTTCATGTTTCTTGAAAATTTATTCTTGCCATATTTATGTCTGGGTGTGCAGTTTCCAAATAAAAAAACCTATGCTGTCATCTTAGAGTGAGCTGAAATGTGCATTTCCATAATTTCATGACTACAGCATTCACAGAATCACAGAGCTGGAAAATTAATTAGAGATTATCAATTCCAATTCTTTGTTTAACATAGAGTTTGCAACTACAGCTACTGGATATCTGTGCAGGCTCTTCTTCAATATATCTAATGAAGTAGAGACCATCATCTTCCAAGTTCCACTGTTAAGTTGCTCATTGTTAGGAAGCTTCTCTCAATATTCAGCCAAAATTAGCTTCCTTACAATTTCTATCCACTGGTTCCAATTGTCTTCTCCAAAGTAATAAAGATCTAATGTGTTCCATCTTTTTCAAAGTTGACAGATGGTAACAACACCTATCCCTTAATTTTCTCTTCTGTATAATGTCCAACCATCTCTCCCAGAATTTGGTTTCTATCTTTTTTCCATATTTATTCATCTTTGGATATGCTCAAGCTCAGCTAGTTTATGTGAATGAACCATGTCAGATTACAGACAGAAATGTTGTTTTAGATGAAACACAGTGCTAGTCATCAAGTGCAGAGTGAAACAATGCTGAGTGTAACATTTGTAAACTGATTCTGGATAGCATTAAGTAAGGAGGATGCTATTTTAGTATGAAGAAGACATTTAGTGACATTTGAAGTCTCTTCAAGTTATGTGTCAGTTCTGTGAACAAAGAGGCTTAACTTACCTGTGTGATGGCAAACTGGTCATAGAATGATGAGTTTTCTAAATTCAGCTCAAGATCTATATCTTGTAATTCTTCACAGCTAAAAGGAGAAGGCATTTTGGATGAACAAGAAGGAAAGGAAACATAATTCAGTCGTTATAAATTATCTTTCATAGAATCCATCCTCTATATCACTAACTCGCTAAATCACTCTAACGTACACTCCTTCTCTCTCAAACACACATAGACACTCACTCACTAAGTACGACAACTGTCTTATTATCACACAATCTTGTGACTGTCTTTGAAACATATAAGCTTTTATATTACAATCTCTCTCAAGTGTTTTAATGAACCTGTCACAATAGTTTTATTGCAGACAAGAAATAATAGAGCAAAGGGTCAATATGTCAGTAAGACATTTTCCAACATTTTGCCAATGGTTCCCATTCTGACCAATTTCCTGAAGACAAGCTGATGAAGGTTACAGCTGAATTGGTATCATCTCAAACTGCATTCTTACTTTGCCAGGACTTCTCCTTGTATGTCCTTTAGAAAGGACATGCATATTATTTCACTGGCCACATACTACATAACACAGAAGCTTTACCTCAACCCTCCAATATTCTCCACCTTAAAAAAATGGAAAATAGCTAATTTTTGTAAGGGCCCAGGATTTCTAAGCATGTACAATTTAAAACCCATACAAGTCTTGTTTCCAAGAATATAATTATATCATCTTTATATGTACTGCATCAACAAAAAAATCAACAAAAATGGTCTCCAAGTTCTAAACTTAAAATCCATATACAAGTACTATATCTCTCCAATTATCCCACCCATATGAAAATGCCTTCTTTGGCATCACACCAGTGACTTTCAGCCACAATGAAAAAAAGCTATTGATCTTCAGAAGACAATAATATTTGCATGTTTTATTTCCAATATTCCTAACAAAATTCAATCAAAAATAAAATCTGCATATAGATGGTCTTCTGTTTTCATTTTTAATAAATATTTTTACTTGGTAAATCACAGGGTTTGAGATTCCTGTAGGCATCTTCTCTCTTTCTTATCTTTCTAATCCTATCAATTACCTTGGAGGCTTATCCAAATATTTGATTAGCTGGTTGGATTTTTTTTTTAAAGGGAAAAAAAACCCTGAGAGAATATTTTAGCCAAATATTCAAATAATCATGGCAGTCCTAAATAAAACATTCACTGATGGCATATACAACATATGGCAAAATAAAATGTAAAATCAGTGGTTTAATAATGAATGTAGATTATAAGACATGAAAATTCACTGTCTTAATGCTCTACATACTTACACAAGATTTCTATTAAATCACGCACAGTCATTTAATCATTTTATAGTTTTTTCCAAATAATCCCAGCGTGATTGACTGCATTTATTTAATATGAATATATTTAATGCGCAGTATGGAATTTTACACATATCTGATTGCGCTAGAAATCCCCTGAGACCAATTCAGTTGTGTAAAGAACTGAATACATTTAACTTAACTCAGTGCAGTCCAGTGAATATTTTTGTTCACCATAAGGCTGTATTCATCTCCCAAATTCTTATATTCATTTTGAGATTTCAGAAGAAACTAGTGAATCTCAACTACATATAATTTGCAGTGTTCTAAATATGGCAACTAAAACTTTACTGGACCTTAAGAATATGATGACAGAGGCGAAATCTCTTATGTAACCAGTCTTGCTTTAATAAACTTCAAAATTATGAAGTTCCTTATTTGTTTTCCTTGTTTTGTTATCTGCATATTATGTGCTATTGTCCATTTCTCCACACCAATGTATCATCTTCAATACTCACCTATTTGGCATGCTTCCCTTCTCAGTAATAGCTTCACACCACATGTTAAATCCAACAGTCACGATAGTGCTGGCAATAAAGATGACAAAAACCACGAAGGCGCTAATCAGAAGATTCAGGAAAGCATAAAAGAAAGAGCTGCAATGAAAATTGGAGATTGGGGAGAAGAGTAAGAAAAACACATCTCATCAATAACACAACAATATCTCTGAACCACATGCAGTGCTGGAATCAAATCAAAGGAAAGGAATCTAATCCATATCTAGCTCCACATTTCCCTACAGGTCTACTTCCTTCTGATTCTCTAAACTTTCTCTGGTTTGAGTCATTTTTCTAACTTGGCAGAGTAGCCAAGTAATACAAGATATCTTTCTCCTCAGGATGGAATACAACACACAAAATCAACAGTGAATTTTTCACATTCTCTTTTGAATGCCCACCTGAGAAGCTATTTTTTTTCCTGATCCCATTTGATTCTTCAGACTTTGATTTTCCCAGGCTCTTATGGGCTCTGCCCACTATTTAGATTTACAGATTAGAGTCAGGTTTTCCTTTCAGTCTTTCCTGTCTGAACCTTTTGGAATGGGATTTCTTCCCTATCTCTACCATAATGAAGGTAATCTAGTTAAGATTGATCTATGCAAGCAGCAGCATTGACTCTAGAACAGTGGTGGCGAACCTACGGCACGTGTGCCAAAGGCAGCACCCAGAGCCCTCTCTGTGGGCACACGTGCCATCGCCCCAGCCCCGCCTCCCCCGTGGCCCCCTCCTCACCAGCAGCCCCCCCAGAGGAGAGTCGCCTCCAAGCGTGACCCGCGCGGAGCAGCGCAGCCAAGGACATGGCAGCCAGGCAGCGCGGATAAGACTCCACCCTCATACTCCATTGCATGCAATTGATGCTGCGGGGCATGGGTGGAGGGCGTGGCCACCATGGCACTGCTGGGCCGCCTGGGCAATCTATGGAGGTGGTGATTGGTCCTGGGGGCGGGTGGGGGGGCGGGGCGGGTCAGGGATCAGGGTGGGGGGGCGTTTTTTGGGCACTCGATCTCTAAAAGGTTCGCCATCACTACTCCAAAACCTCACATGATAAATCCTATTTTTGGTTGCAGTAGGTAGAAGATGACATTTTTAATTATTTCTCTCATAAAGAAGGGTAACAATTACATGTACATACATGAAAGATTCTATCCAGATAGTTCTAATCGTTTGGCAAGCCGTAATGAACAATTTAAAAGACCAGCAGAAAATAAAACTTAAAAAAAAGTATGAGCAAATAGAAAAGTCTGGCACTCAAAAGTAACTATGAATATTATTTTGCAAACATTACTGCCTGAATGCAATAACCAAAAACTTAACGTTTCTGATCAGCTGCATTACTTTGTATAAATCAATAGACTGAGAAAATTTCTGAAATTGATTTAAAAATCTGAATATGTTCACATGATGACAACTGGCTTTTAATATATGCTGGTGCTATACTGTTTAAATGAAATGCCATACATATTCTCCTGAATGTAATTTGGACCTCATAGTATACTAGATAGGTCTCTCCAGGAATCACTTCCACAGAGGATACAGAGAACTCTGAAAAGTAATTTTCTTATGAAAATATTGTAGGGGAATCCTAAGTCCTTAAGGGAAACATCTTTGGACTTACAATTCCTCCTTGGGATATGTAGAGTCCCCCTCTGAATCTAAATAAAAAAGTGAGTCTTTTTAACCTTCTGCTTATAGGATTGAAAAGTAGAACTTCTTATGAGCAGAAACACTGCCTAAACTTTTCTGATTGGCTGCAGTCAATCTCAAATGATGTTCTGATGTTAAGTTTCAGAGATTTTAGGAACCACATTCATTGCTGGTATAATGTATGCTGATCTATCCTTTGGGGAGGAATATTATTTCTAGGCTGTGCAGTGCTTCAGATATGAGAATGGTGTTTTGAAGTCTAAAGGAGATTTTATGAAAGCTCTTGTAGTCAGCTATGTAAATTACAGTAGATAATTATAAATGCAGAATTGTTTGTAACAATTGAAAAAAATCACCCTAGCTGCAGGATTTTGCTGTTTTAGAATGAATATGCATCACAAAATATGCAGGATACATAGAAAAATGCAGTTGATTTAATGAGTTGCAGACATTTTGGAACCGATATGAATCATTGCAGCACTCTGAATGTGTCTGATACTCAGATGCAGCAGATCCCAGGATAATTATTTAGATAGCCTGATATTCTATTTTATGTTTATGACATCTGGTAAACCAAACTCTTCCTTTCCCCTTTCTTTCATCAAGTCATACTGAAACGGTTTTAAATAACTTCATAGTATATATCAGCAAATGCTAGAGAAACACATCTCCAGAGATCAAAAGTATTTGTTACACAAATGTGGCTTGGGTTGCTTAGCTGAACATGACAGTTTAGCCCACACTAAAATAATACACATTGCCTGTTTTAGCTTCTGCTCATCCTTCTGCTTTGAGTTAATCTGGATGCTAATTTTAAGAAAATGAAACTATCTCCAAGTCACATTTCCTCTTTAAAAATATTCATTTCTTTCTTATTCTTTACAAGGTTTGAGAAATTCCATAATGCAACTTAACACAATTTTTATATCAGATGAAATTTTCATGCCTGAGACATGAGATTTTCTTCTATTTATCAAATGTTAGCTTGATACTGCATTTTAGGGTATACATAAAATGCTTTCTACTTGGAATGGAAAAGATATGTAAAGACAAGACTCATAGGTGACTTGCAAAATAATGGTCTAAAATTCTGGTAAAAAGAAGTATATGAAACACATATATACTTCTCAGAACTAGAATATTTGGGAGAGTAAAGAGCCATACCATTATGGAGCATTCACATCTTTAGAGATTAGAGCTGAAAACAGCTCATCAGTGGTAAGATAAAAGCTAGACCAAATGGAGGAAACATTTGCACTGAAGTAGGTCTTCAATAGCTGTCACATAAAATTACAATAATGAACTATGCACAAAGCACATTGAAAAATCTGCCTGGAATCACGCCTACTTTTCCACTGAATAGACAATGCCAACATAAATTTTCTAAATGGTCTAACTGACTTTTACAGCAATATGATATGATGGGATTAATTCAGTACAATGGAAACTTTTAGGAAAAATTTGAAAATATTAACCAAAATCTTGTCTCTCCAATTCTATTAGATTACAATTTCCAGCATCTCATTCATCTAATACAGGGGTGTCAAACTGACGGCCCATAGGCCGGACACATCACGTGGAAGCTGCGCCCACCCCATTGCCGGCAATGGCAAAACTGTCCCGATACATTGCACGACGTCACGTGACATTGCAAGTTTGACATGTCTGATCTAATACATCCATAGGGCACCCACTGGGGAATGAAAAGTCTAACTAGAATTAATCACTTATCATTAATCATGCCAATATTTTTTATTTGTTTAGTTTTTTGGTATGTATGTATTCTTTTATTGGTTTTACAGGTAATCTTCACTGAACAATCAGCAACTCTTTGAAGTCAAGGTGGGGCTGAACAAGGCAAATTTATGACTATTCCTCGTAGCTGTGCCTGTCTCAGCAATCACATGATGTGATTCAGGTAATTGACAATTGGCTCACAATTACTATGTCCTGTAATCATTTGTGAACTTCACTACCAACAGCTGAGAAGCAAAGTCAATGGGGAAGCCATCAGGAGTTCACAAATGGCAATCATATGACTGAGGGACACTATAACCACATGGGATTCACCTAACGTCATCTGGAACTGCCACCATTGACGTCATGCTTTATGACTATGTTGCTTAGCAATACAATTACCAGCCCCAATTAAATGAAGCCTCTATCTATACATTGATTTGAATGCTATATATATATATATATATATATATATATATATATATATATATATATATATATATATATATATATTTAAATAGCTTTTAGATGTTTTATCCATCTCTTTGGATGACCTTGCCTGCTATATTAGGTCATCATCTTGTTCAGCCATACTTGAAAATAAATCTCATTAATCAAAAAACTTGGTCAAGTTACACAGTTGTACAACAATTAAGCAATGAGTATATCCTTTCCATCAGGATATTCTCCAGACTGAATTTACCATAGCCGGCTGTGAAAATCTGGAAGGCCAGTAAACAACAGCTGAGAGATACAGAAAAAAATATGATGCCATCAAGTAGTTGGCTGGATTTATGAAGTCCCAAAATGGTAGGCCTATCCCAGTTGTCTGGTTTACACCTCTCACAGACAGTATTCTAAATGACAGGGTTGTTCAATATTATGGAAGGTAGTGTCCATTGCAGTTGGAGAGCTCCAGATTACAGAATCTTCCCATCCCAGATTAGTCATTGTTTATTTAACCATAGTCTGGTTACCCCAACTTCATTGTGAGATAACAAGGGTGGCTAACCTCTGGAGCAATGTGTTGTAGGAACCAAGCCAGCCAGAGCACAATGGAAATCCCCCTCCTCAGGGAAACCAACTTTTGAAAAACCCCATTTGGTTCCCTGGAGCTCCAGGCATTGCATCTACGGGCCCCCGAGAGCAGCCTATCTCCGGGGAGATCTTCCCCCTTTCTTCTTCTCCTCCCCCGACCTCTCAATAAACAGCACCCCCTTCGCTTCGGTTCCCGGCCCAGGTGGAGGCAAGACCAGCACTTACTCCTCGTGGCCTTTGCAAAGGAAAAAGAGGGTCCTCCACGCCTGCACTGCGGCGAGAAGAAGGGAGAGAAGGCCGGCGAAGAGGCTGAAGCGGCAGGCGGACTCGGGTCCCCACTCCTGAACGGTGAAGCGCTGCCGCTCGGCCGTCAGGTTGGCGTTGAGCCACATGCCCTCGGTGAAGAGCAGGCAGCGGCCGTGGAAGTCGTTGCTGTTCTCCGATAGCGGCACCACCACGATGAAGCTGAAAAGAAAGGCGAGAAAGTAGCAGATGCATTGCGCGAAGAGGAAATTGCTCAGCGCCATGATCGCCCGCCTGCCGCAGACCGAACCGCCGGCAGCCCAGAAACAAGGAGCCAGCCCGAGGATGCGCAATGAGAAGCGCGCCTACGCCTTTTCCCGCAACTGCCCTCCCAACCCCCGCGCCTCTGAGGGGAGGGGAGGGGAGGAGAGCGGCACCTGCCAAATCTGGTTATAGTGAGGTTTCTCCAGGGTGTCATTCTCACTGACAGACGTTTTAGCTCTTGCCTAAATAGGGCTAGGGACTAACCTCGGGCCTTCAACATGAGTTGTCTGGCCTTGAGACCAAAATAATAATAATTTAAACAATCAGTTTTACCTACCAAATACTATTTGGTTAAAAAAAAACAATCAAACGTCCTCTCCGATATTTTGAAAGTATAAAGGTACTGAAATCTAATTTGTAAACATCAATTAATGTATATATAAGCTCAACTGAATTTCATGATTCTTTTGCTTGATACAGAGACTAACTCATTCATTTGTACAAATATCTTGTCCATGGATCATTAGATAAATAGTTAGCTCTTGCTATTATATGCATCTTGACAAACTAGACTGTGATCCATGAAACCAGCACTAGCTAATATTGTCTGATCTAGAAAACGAAGCAGGGTCAGCCCTGTTTAGTGTTGGATGGAATCCACCCTTGAAAATCCTGATGTGTAGACTAGGAAAATGATATTAAGGTGAAGATAGCCATTGCAAATGATTTCTGTATTATGCCAAGAAAACTGTGTGGATGTGTCCCTGTAAGTTACCAGGGACTTTAATATGCCCCAGAAGTTTTTATCTTGCTGCAAGAAATGTACACAGCCGCCTCTCTAACTCCTAAGTAGCCGTGCTTCAAGTTGAAATATTAATAATTGGGTGGGGAACATTTAATCATATAGAAATTATGGGTACTACAAGGTACTACATTTTTCAGTAGTAGTGCTTTTCTCAGGTCATTTATTTATTTACACAGGAGGATAATACTTTACAGTATGAACCTGTGCTTTCAGATTAAAAGGGATTCCTTTAATTTTGAGTTACACCCCATATGATATAAAAGTATACAGGAACCCCAGTTCTCATATTGGCAGTGTGGGGGGGTGTAGTGCATTATGAGACATAATTGGTCCAACTTGGTCCAATTGCTTCAAAGTGTTTTCTGCAATTGATCAGTAATAAGATTCTTGTGGAGTGCATTGATTTTCCCCAAGGGACCATCTCTCGCCATATGCTTCTACTGACTTTGCTCTCCTTTTATAAGGCAGTAAAGACTTAGTAGTGTACTTAGACCTGGGGCCTCGAGTATGTGAGAGACCCTATCTCTTGGGTATTTGATTTGATACCTTCTTCAACTGCTATTTACTTTATTTTTTCTATTGTTACTCTATTGTTTTAAGTTTATTTTTATTTTGTTTGCTACCCAGAGTCATCTGTTAAGATGGGTAGCCATACAAATTGATTGAATAAATAGATTTCCCTTCCACGTAAAAAGTTGTAGACAAATATACCAGAATACTAAATGAACTTACGATATGTACATTGTATGCACAATGCATATAAGCTTTGAGAGGAAGTATGTAAATGGAAATATTTGCATGTGTGTGCATACACACATACCATATCTTTGATGCACAATACAGCTTATTTCATTCAAGATTCAGCATGTTATATTTTGTGTTTATTCCAACAAGGAGAGAAAGAAAAAACAGCCTAATGCCAGGATCTAATGATTCCAGTGCATTTTAAAAGCAATTGGCTACTCTTGGCAAGTTTTGTCATAATAATCACGGCTATATAACTTTATGTTGTACAGGATCAAATATGTAAATAGCATTCATCAGCACCAAGAACTCCCCCATTCTGATTGCATCCAGTGCACTTGCTTATATGAATGCCGCTGTCCATGGTTCTGACCTTCACATTGCCCTACAGTACTGTCGAAATTAAAACTGTAATTCTGGCCATGTTCCCCATGAAGCATGGGGACTGACTACAAAAGTGCATATAATCAAGGTCATGGTTTTCCCAGTTGGCTGTAAAAGTTGGACCATAAGAAAGGCTGAGCACCAAAGAATTGAGGCCTTTGAACTATGGTGCTGGAGAAGACTCCTGTGAGTCCCTTGGACTGCAAGGCGCTCAAACCGGTCAGTCCTAGAAGATCAACCTCAACTGCTCTTTAGAAGGCCAGATCCTGAAGTTGAAACTCAAATACTCTGGCCACCTAACTGTCGAACTTAAAACTGTAATTCTGGCCATGTTCCCCATGAAACATGGGGACTGACTACAAGTAAAATCTTTATAGTCTGAACTGGAAAAATATGTTGACATTAATAGCCATGAATTAAAGTTAAATAGATTTGTTCTTAAGATATAAGTATTTGGGGTCATTTTTATTAATGTATTTTACAGCTATGTGGATTAAAACAAGTGTGTATTTTCTAAGATCAAGCAGCAGCATGGTTGATCTTATGCAAAGATCTTTTTGACACAAGAGATGCTATGTACATGTGCATGCACACTCCGGATAACATCTCTTCATAGTCCTTATTTGAATATTGATTCTTATATATCCAGTACATCATTGCCCAAATCAAAGAAGGAATGAGCAAATAACATTTTAATTATCTTTCATTAAATTAATCTAATATTATTAAAACAAGATTTCATCTGGCCCCATCCTCTTTTTAAGTGCAGTCTCCAGTATGCTTTTTAAAGTCAAATTCATGACCTGAGAAGGTTAAGAAACTTTTAAGAAAAATGCCCTAAGAAGCAAAGTGACTAAATATGTCCACCAATAACTGAGCCAATGGGCAAGTATTGTTCAATGACTATTGGGGAAAAAACAGCAAAAAAATGATAAATGTGAAATAGTTTCCTGAAAATGGCTATCTAGAAATCTGTTAGTTTGCACAGCTGTAAATGCCTGAACTCTAGACTCCCACATCATGTATAAACATAAGAGAGGACACAATTTCATATTTGTTTGTTTTACCTTTCTTTATCAGCACTACTGCAATCAATAATCTTGCAATATTGCAAATGAAAATAATTGCCACTACCCCACCATTACCAAAAGAGCACTGTTCCCCTCCTCCCCCACATACAACCCACACAACCCCACAAATCTTTCTCATCTTAGGTTGCCCCAAAAATATGCTTGATCATTAAACAACCACATTTTTGGTATAAAAAAATTCAGTTCCAAATTGATAATGGTACTCTAGACTTCAGTGATAGGTGCTATTTCCAATACTGAAACAAAGAATATACTGTGGATTTACATACACTATCCAGATTATACCTATAATGGGAATAGTGAGCAATGTATGTTTGCATGCTGATCATCCCTCCAAATGTACCATTTGGAGACAGTGGTAGTCTGAAGAGGCATCTAGGTTGGATAGAAAAAGCACAGTTAGTTTGTGCTAATTTTGTAAGAGGGCATAAATCTAGCAACATTTGCCAACTGGTAACCAGCATGATGGCTGTCTCCCATATGTATGCCCAATCCACATTATAGAAATAATATTAGACCAGCAATAGAAAAAAATGTCTTCAGAGTAATTTCACATTTGATTGTGTAACATACAATGATTTGTCCTTCCACACTATCTCACTGCACTTTGTATCCAAGGATAGATAAAGTACCTAAGAATGGATACAACTATTTTTCCCCCTCTGAGGGTTTGTTGGGGGAGGGGAGTGAGAATTACAGAGCTAATAGACAGATAAAGTCCTTCTGAAAGATTAAAAAAATGCAGTTTCAATTCTTGCCTTACGTAAAACAAAAACTCACATCCTGAATTATGTTTTCATTGTCAGTGTAATCTATCCTCCTGGAAGTTGTGCAATATTTTATTTCCACTGCTGAGAAATTGATTAATTTCTAGTAGAGCCCTAGCCCATTTTTCAAAGGATGGAACAAATTGCAAATGATGATGCCCTGGGGCAAAGTGATTTTGCTGGTAATTCAAGGTCTTAAGTGTGAGGACAACAATGGATAGCAGTACCCTTTTCATTAGATTCCCAGATATTTCCTTTTACTTATGTTTGGAAGATTGGGAAAGAGAAAAATCTAAACTGCTAAATGGTATTCTCAAGTTCTCTTCTTTGAAATGTAAACCTTTATGATTTGCAGGCTTTTTCTAAAATTAAAATGGGAATCAATGAGGATGTGAAGCTCAGTTTGTTCCTTACTGGAGAAAAAATTGGATAGAAAGTAAGAAAATTTGTTTCAATGATTTTTTTTCTATTGCAAGGTGCAGAGGGTAGAAATTTTACTCACAGACTGTGATCCTAGATTCTCTTAAGACAATTCCATTTTCTCTTCAGAGACCAAATTCCACACCATCTACTTTTGAAATGGATACATTCATTCAGTTTTGAGACCAAAGTCAAACCTAAGATTTAAGATAGAAACTTCAGAATTGACTTGAGATGGTGCCCCACATTTATCATCACTTATCAGCATGTCTCTATAAGAAAATCTAATCGTGTAAGTGTTACAAATTACATTTACAAAACTAGAAGGAATGATAGATTGTTCATGGGAGAAACAATCAACAAAGTGGTTCTCAAAACAAAGGCAAAATGTAAGAATGAACTTTAGAAACAGTCTTGTGCAATCCTACACAACGCAAACCTACACAATTCATTCAGCAGCAAAGACATCAACATAAAGTGGAAGCTTGGGCAAAGAACTCCATATGAAGCTGATGAAACTGAACTATTGACAATAGCTGCAAAAATTCTATACCAATAGAATCACAACCAAGAAGGATATCACTTACTTACTTACTTACTTACTTACTTACTTACTTACTTACTTACTTACTTACTTCTAATTTAGAAATGTATTTGCCACTCATCTTGTATCCAATGAATCTGGGCAACTTACAACATAAGAACTTGGGTAATCACTTATAGAATATTGCTGAACAGCACTACCATAAAAATTGTCTGGGAAAAAAAGCAGCTAAATATGGAAGAAAGCTATATTTGTCATCTTAGAAGTCAGAATGCTTATATTGCTAACAGTACTTTAAGGAAATCATTAATTGTTCAGTGTTAGCAGTAATCCTCTTCTAGAAACTTTTTAAACATGGACAGTGTTGTTGCAGCCAAGACTGGTACCTAAGCAGACACATCCCTTCAAATTAGACAAATGCCATTTTAAAAATATCTCAATAAAAACTCATAATC